ACCTTTGTTCAACATCGCTCAAGAGTCTCTAGGGTCCTTCTCTAACCACTCAATCTCTAACTCCTCTAAGGACTCAGGCACATCCATCGAACAGAACATCGATTGGTTTGGATCTGTCTGCGGGGCGATCATAGGGTCAATAACCTTCGCTATCGTCTGAAATGGAGAAGGTGAAGTAACCACTTCAGCATGAGTAAGAGCAGCTAACACTCCTACTCGACCGAGGTGTTTCATTGGGAAGTGCTCGCAGAAGCACCACCACATTTGGAAGATCCAACCATCACTATTGAGGACGCGGCCTTCGTAGCGACCCGCTTACTCTTGCACTTGGCCATTGTGTGCCCATATTGGTCACAGTTTAGGCAAGCGCCTCGTGCAACACTGTCTCGCCACACCTCGTACTCTTGACCAAGCTTCACCCATATAGGTGGTCCTTGGTCACCTTGACCCCTGGGCCGGCCTACCTTCTATTTCCCGGCCCCCTTACCGTTTTCTCTAACGGGCGTGGTTACTCCACCATCTGAAGTCTCCCCAAGCCCATTTATCTATGTTTCTTCCCCAAGATCAGAGAAGTCACCAATCTCAGTTGCTTGACCGTCGTGGTCAACAAACATGAGATTGCCCTTCTTCCCCCAATCCCGAGGGAGCTTCTTCTTCCTCCCATCTAGCGGTCCCTGGTGGGGACTCCCAAGCTTAGCCTCTATGTCTAGGGCTTTCTTGCTGAACGAGGCGAAGTTATGTACGTCTATGGAGGCCTCATCGACCAACTTATTCTTGACATCTGTAGGCAGACAACACAAATAAGTTGTGAGTACTTGTGGTCCGTACCGCACACCAGGGACTACAATCAGTCGCTTTATGGCATCTGTTACCTCGCGAACTGTCCGGTCTCTCTTCGATCCTAGACTAGCTAGCGAGTCGGTGGCCTTCTGAGCCCCTTGAGGGCATGCCACCTGTTGTAGACCATCCGTACAAACTCCTCCAACGTCTGGGCCTGTGCCCAACCATCGAATTCCTGACTGTATCCTTGTTGTTGTAGTACACCGTTTAGCCACCTAGTTGCAGATCCCTCTAGGAAGGATGCAGCGACAATAACCTCTTCTTTGGTCGTTGTGAGCTTATGCCTTACATAAGTAGGTATGGTCCTCACCTAGGTATCCAGGTCCTCTTCCTTCTTCTTGTCGCCAAAGAAGGGTTTAGGACTCAGCAAGGGTATCTTGGGTGTCCACTGCATTGATTGTACGGCACACTGTGCCTGCTGCATCGACTGAGAAACCGACGGAACAGGCCGCTGGGTGGCATTTGTTGCTGCGACGACACTTGTTGTTGCTGCTGTACTTGCTGTTGCGGCGGACCATGTTGCAAAGGCTGCTGCTCGTGTGGCTGCCATGTAGACGCAACCACTGATTGGGGCAAAGAAGATGATTATACAAGAATCTGCCCACTACAAGTGCCCGCCCTAAGTGAAGGCGGGCCTGAATATTCATCAGAGGCCAAAACTCAACATTTTCATATATGGGTATTCAGTCTGTTGCAGCCCGCCAGTTGGTTGAGTGGACGCGCGACCCTCCCTAAGCTGCGTCGTACAGTTGGCCCAAGCCTTGGCAGTTGCACCTGGGCACATTCACACAAAGCAGGGTTGATACATCATGAAATAGCCACAGGCCTATGCAACAGCAGTACTATCTACGTACCTACCTGTGCAAATGCAGCAAACGGCCCAAGTCCAGAGACTCAGGTCGTGTCCAACTGTAAAGGGCCCAGGCCCTCAACTCTAGTCTTGGACCTGGGCGCAGGAACTGAGGCCCAACCGGAAGCTACTGGAAGCTTCCAGCCAGGCCACATGCAGCATCCAGGAGGCTGCCAGCCCAGGCCAGGGATCCTGGCCCACGCAGGCAATGCTGTCACGCTGCTGCATTGGATGCTGCGTTGAGGCTAGTGCGCTTGCGGGGCGCGTTGAGGTGAGGTGGGGCGCTGCAGGGCAGCGGAGCGCGGGCAGCCTTAGCTGGGCTGCTGTGTGCTAGGGGGTAAGAGGGCGATTGGTGGTCTTCAGGAAGGAGGCGAGTGTGTGGGTGGTCAAGGTCTGATGGGGGTGACGAGATACGTACCTGGTGCATGAAGCGAGGTCGGCTATGGTGTTGACATCATGTACACTGGTCTTCGAGAGTCGAAGTGAGCCTGTTGCATGAATACAGTTGTAGGTAGGATAGTCGAGTAGAGTAGACTGGGCACTGGGCGCCAGACAGAGAAGAGCGACATTGGATACTGTGTTGGTGTGGCGTGAGGGCTTGAACATTGGCTCATTACTTCATTGTATTGCTCTATTTGGATGGATTCTCAGTGCAGTTGTGCTCTCTGCTTGTACACACTAATTGGACATCTGTGTGATTTTGCAACTTGGTTTTCTGCATATCGTTCACACTCATATTCCTTGCACATTTCCTCTTTTCTGCCGGCATGAGGTCTGCTCCACATCTCGCAAAGTTGAACACAACCCCATGCTTCTCATGCAGTTCGTTGTGTACTGGAACTTTTCCTTCCGGGTATTTGCATACAACAATTTCTTTTTTGCCTTCTGGATTGGCGATGTCTTGTTCACTTGTATACCTTCTACCTTCGTTTTTTCAATAAGAAACTTAAGTGCCTCATTGTCAATCACATTGGATGACATCTTAGTTGTCTAGGTGTTCCACATCACTGCCCAATATTTTTGCAGCGTTTGTTTAAAGGATGTGCCGCTGCAGAGATTACTGGGACCCTGCATTTTGTTACTTGAGAGGTTCCACGCTTCTTTCTACTCTGGGATTCGCAGGTGAAATGAGAAGGGAGCCAGAGTTTGGGGAGGCGGAGAGGGGGAGAGTCCATTTTTTCTAGGGTCAGTTGGATGGAAAAGGTAGGTGGGAGGGGTGTGGGAGTTGTGAGCGGGTCACACACACACTCAAACCGACAAGCACTCAGACAGGCATGCAGACCAGCAAGCACGCCCACACTCAGACTTAGAAAACTCAGCAACAAGCGGGAAACTCGGCAAGGCATGCTTTCCATTGGCAAAACTTAGAAGTCACCTGTGTGTGGGGGAGTGTCCCTCCAATTTTTTTTTTTCTTTTTCTTTTTTCTTCAATCAAAGATTGGTCTTTTCCTCAAACGAATCACGGTCGCAGTCGCAATCTCTCCCCTCTGTCTAGGGGAGTGTCCCTCCCACCATCCCACAAACGAGGCTCTCGCAATAATCCAAGGGGAAGGGAAGGATAAGGGACAAAACAAAGACTAGGATCACCCTCGAGCAGAATGGCATCCCCGATCTCCTACTCGTCCATAGTTAGTCAAGGAACGGGAGAAAACAGCAGCAGTGTTATTGACAATGAAGCTCTTAAGTTCTTGATAGAGAAAACCAAAGTCCAAGGAGAGCAAATCAGAGAAACTCAAAAGGTGGAAGGCAAAGAAGAAGAGATAATCATTTGGAAGTTTCCGGAAGAAAAGGTGGCAGAATTGGACGATTTGCATGAGAAGCACAGAATGGTGTTCAACTTCGCACGGAATGGAGCAAACCTCCAACCACCTAAGAAAAGAAAATGGATCATAGAGGTAATCAAGAAAGAGCTGAAACTCAAACAATCGGGTGAGACGTTTACACTGCAGATCCTGAGTCGAAACAACATCATGRCACTTTTCATACGAGAGGAACATGCGAAAGCAGCAGCGGATCTACAGTCCAGGAATTGCCATGGTTCGGTATGCACAATTAGCAAATGGAAAAAATTGTCTTCCCAGAAACAGAATCAGACATTTGCTGTCTCATACAAACAAACACTGTTGAAAGAAAATTTATGGGTGCAATTTGACAATGTGCAACCGGGTCTGCAMKGACTGCTAGTGGACAGACTGGAAAGGCAATACYCGACAAAYAGAAYCCTCAAATGGGTGCTCCCTACACCRGATTTTTTGGCCCCACACTGCGGTTCCATGACGACAGTCATTGAGGTGAAGACGGACAACCCCCCGGTCTTTCCACAGGTCTGGAAATTTCAGATCGAAAAYWGGACAGTGGAAGTCAAAGTGTCAACCAAGTCCTCCCCGATTTGTTTTCGGTGCAGAGAAAGAGGCCACATGGGAACAGATCCCARCTGCCCCAAAWATCCGAATCAACCAAAGGAACRAAAACTCCTCCCCAACATGTTAGTAGRGGTGGAGGACGCCCCGGGCATTTGGTTCATTCCGGACARTAACTACAATGGATGGGTCTTTGACGATAACTTGGAAGTTCCGGACTGGGTATGGCACTATGCCGACCAAGAATCAGAAGTAAAAAAACCCAATGTCTTTCCCCCGACCGACAGCAAATGGCAGAAAAGAGCCACAGGGAAGATTTCGGGCAACCCATCAAAAATCACCACTGACCCACTGATCAATTCTCGTGTAATCAAGGAAGAAAAAGACAAAGAAGATTTGCTGTGGGATTTGGAAGCAGTAAAAGAACAGGCAATACTGCACTTCAATAAGGACTCGTCGAGCTTCAGAAGTATGTTGTCAGAAATGGAGCAAAAATCAGTTCAAACAAGAACAGGGGTTCAAACAGACAACAAAAGGACAATGGAAATCGGAAAGAGGCAAGGGAGTCAGGAAGGGGGCTCAAAGAGGAGGAAGGMAGTAGATGAGCAAGGGAAAGAGGAGGTGGTAAGTCTCCCAGCAGACAAAGAAGGAGAGAAGGGGACAACAGACTCCGGTGGTACAGGGTCTGAGAAGAGAAGCGAGAGCGACAAAAGGGAAGGGGACAACACAGGATCTGACAGTGAGGGGGATTCTCACAGATCTCTGCAGTGGCTCAAGGACTACATAGAAAAGGTGAAGAGGGAGAGGGAACAAGCCTTTGACATTCGGGCAGCCTGTCTCAAGCATGCAGAAAGACATCAAAAGAATGGTAAGAAGGGGATGGGCGAAGTTGGGAAATTAAGCAACCAATTTGATGTTCTCATAAAAGTGAAGGCGGAAGAATTATCGGAATACACAGCCTTCAGATATGCGGAAAAAAAAAGGGCAAGGGAACAGGGAATGAAAGACAGAGATAGAACAGCCCCAGAGTCGAAGGATGATTTCCAAGACTTGCGCCCAAAGAAGTGGAGATCAGGGCAAAATCAGAAGAAGAAGAACCCGAACATGACCCAGACGGATTCTGAGGAAGAATCAGTGCGCACACAGCTGGAAAAGGAAGCGGTAGTAGTAATTGCACAAACAGAGAAGCTAAACAGACTGAATGAGGAATACTCACCAGAATTCACCACGATCACTCACATTGCCAGGGATCAGGCCCCACTGGTAGTAGAGACAGCCAAATCATCAAGACTGACACTGATGAACATCCACCCCCTGATTGCTGCAAGGTATGTAGAAAAACTGGAGGAATGGCAAATTGCAACAGATGTGTCCTTTCAGATACCATGCTTTGAGGAAGGGCAAAATGTGGCTACTGCACTCCTCGAAAAGATATCCACGGAGTATCCATTGGGGGTCTACGACTCCATGCCAAGCAATCTAGAGCATGAGGATACACTTCCCCAACAAGAACATGAGGGATCCACCTCACAGCCCTCAGAGCATGATAGACACTCGCCTCATGCATTCTCACCAATGATCGTCAAGCTGTCAAACAAAGCAAATCTTTGCTCAGGGATGAGATGGAGGCCTTGGAGAACGATCAAAGTTGTGCCTTATAGTGTCTTGGCGGGWTCGAGCCTGCCGGCTGAACTGGCAGCAGTCTCACTGGCCCAGTTGGTTGCCACAGGAATGCTGGAGGGAGATGGTGACCTAGATGCGAGGGCATATCCGGTGGACTGGGAGAGGTTTTATAGGAGTGAATCCGAGGGGGAGGACAAGGAATGGCACTCTGATGACGAGAAGGAGGAGGAAGACCAGGACGACGCGATGGACTCAGACAATGAGGACAGTGATGAGTTGTTTGAGATCTCCAGACAGGAGAAGGATAAGGCAGATAGTGTAGGTCAGCCAACGACAGACCCCCAAGGGGGGGAGGGATTGTTGGACATGGACTCGGGTGGGGGAGCGCCATCGTAGAATTTTTCAACATTCGGTTGATAACCCAATCTAACTCAGTGGATCCCAGAAGATGGAAGGTTTCAGGAAGAGGGCCAATGAACGGGAGCGCCAGAGGGACTGGAAAGACCAAGGAATCATCATTCGATCATGGAATGTGAATGGCTTGGGCAATGTCATAGACAAAGAAGATAAATGGAATGACATAGTCCAGGGCTTAACAGCCAAAAACAGAATACCAGCAGATATAATAATGCTGCAAGAAACCCATTTATCATTCTCAACAGAACACAACAGAATCAAAAGATTTGTGTCTAGAAAGTTGGGAGGGGTCAAAGATGAAATATGGTCGGCAGACAATGTCTCGAGTACCTAAGGTACAGCTATCCTAATCCCCAGATTTTCACGCATATACAAGGAAGGAAGTGTTATGAATAAGGAAGCGGATCCCAATCAAGGAAGATGGTGCTCAATGCATTTTAAATGGAAAGAAGAAGAATTCCTCCTCCTCAATATCTATGCCCCAAATAACGTTGCTGATAGAACATCTTTCCTGACAGAGTTGGGGTCAAAGATCCCACCGCTGACATCGTGTATAGTGGCTGGAGACTGGAACGCAACACTAGACCCTACAACAGACCGCATATCCAGATCCTCCAACACTTACAACTCTCAGGAGGCAGTACCGGTCCAGAGACTAATGGTGGACCACGACCTAGTAGACCCATTTAGAATATTTCACCCGACAGCAAGAGCATTCACACTGATTAAGAAAAGTCATGCCCAACACACAGCCTTCTCACGAATAGACTACTTCCTGGTATCAGCCACAATGATGGGAGCGGTGAAAGAGGCGGCAATCTTGCAGTTAGCACCCTATCCAAGCCTGGACCACAAACCCATTGAACTCACGATATGCTTCGAGCAACAAGTGAAGAAAGGGGCCAACTTTCACAAACTAAACAACTCACTCCTACTGAGTCAAGCTTTCCAAGAAGGGATACAAGAGTTTTGGAAAGAGAGGGGTATGAGCCGCCTACCCATGCGGGACCGGTGGGAATGCTTCGTAGAGAGTTACTCACTACTGGCGGAGACTGCAGCTAGCATGTCAAGAAAGTTAGCCTCCACAAGGAAGCAGAGAAAGCAAAGTTTGGAAAAGGCCTTGAAGATAGCAGAACTCAACCTTAGAGATAACCCGACCTCAGTACTATATATGGGAATATTTGAAAAAGCACGGGAAGAGTTGGTGATGTGGAGGTGGTGGGAGTTAAAGGGTATGCAGGTAAGAGCCATGATGTGCGAATATGATCTTAGCGAATCAATGTCGAAACACTTCTTTGCCCGTATCAAAGCAAACATAAGGGCGGCCACGATAGAGAAATTAAAAACCCTCAGAAACCCGGAGGTGTCGGAGGAAACCATCGAGGGGATTCTGGGGATTGCTAAAGATTTTTACCAAGACCTATATCAGACAAAAACCCAGACACCGACACCAAGTAACACATTGGACGCGAGACAAAGGATGTTTCAATATCTGGAACAAACAATATCGTCAGAACAATCAGAGGAGTTGGACAAGCCCTTATCGTTGGAAGAATTAAACCAAGCTCTCAAGAGCATGAACAATGACAAAGCACCAGGCATTGACGGATTGATGAGAGAATTCTGGGAAAAATTCTGGCCAAACCTCGGGGGGGACCTCCTGAATTTCTACAAAGATAGCTATGAGAAAGGGGGTTTAGGCAGCATGCTGAGTAGCAGTGTGGTAACACTACTATATAAAAAAGGGGACAAAGAAGATATCAGGAACTATAGACCTATTTCACTGCTAGACCCTGGTCAAGAACCTGGCTGCCAGAATTACGAAAATAACGGATAAATGCTTCCACATTGATCAGACGGGCTTTATCCCCGGACATTATATATTGGACAATGTGTTAACTCTAAACGAAGTTGCCAATAAAGTCAGAGAGAGGAGGATAAACACAGCTATACTCTTCTTCGACTTTGAAAAAGCCTATGACCAAGTCAATTGGTCTTTTATGGATGAATGTATGGAACGCATGGGGGTGGGACCAATTTTCAGAAGATGGATTCAGGTACTATACAATAATGCCTCAGGCTGTGTACAGGTCAACGGATTTCTATCTGACAAGTATCCAATATCACGATCAGTGAGGCAAGGAGACCCACTAGCCCCATCGATCTTCCTATTTGTGATGGAGGCTATTGCCTCCTTCCTAAGAAAAGACCCCTCCATACATAGGCTCCCAAAGGTCAATGTAGGTACGTCTCACCATTTAAAGTTCCCAACAGTTATTTTGTTTGCAGACGACATGACAGTACTGATTAGAGCTTCGGACTCGCCGTTTAAAGCACTATCCAGGGCAATGGAAGCATCCAGACTGACATCAGAAATGAAGATCAACTGGAAGAAGACCATAGGCTGGTGGCTGTCAGATGAACAAATTCCCAACCTGCAAGGACCGGAGGCTGCTATGTCCTGGGACACGCCGGAAACACCTACCCGTTACTTAGGCATCCTCATGTCACGGGAGGGTCTGGTACCCCAGATGGCCCAGAACATGCTAGCCAAACAATTAAATAAATTGGGAAGATGGGGGAACACATTCACTTCACTGATCGGACGGGCATTGGTTTTGAACACATCTGTCTTCTCCATGATGTGGTACATTGCGTCGGTCTGGACAATTCCGGACGAATCACTAAAGGAACTTAATCGTGTGGCCAGGACGTATCTATGGACGGGCAACCCCAACAAGGAAGGATGTATCCCAAAGATAGCCTGCCAGTATATCACAAGAAAACAAATACAGGGGGGTCTAGGAATCATTGACCCGAAGTGCGAAACGAGAGCTCTTCAAGTCAAATGGATAGTTCGAAACGGCATGGAACAAACTGGCTCTGGATAGCATAAGGGCCTTGGCTCCAGTGACATCGCCAAATGACATGACATGGCTTTTCTGGGTAATGAACAAGGAATGGTCCTTGAAAAGGGCGAGAAGAAGAACCAGGTGGGAAGTAGAAAGGGGTATAGACAACCGTCAAACACC